GCTTTATATGCCCAGGCCAGCGACCGGTCGGGTTGATGTGGGGAGCCGTGGGTGGGGGTTTGCAGGTGCCATCAGCCCTGCTGGAGAGGTCGGTGCCCTGGGACTCGTACTGAAGCGTGCTGAAATGGAAGGGGTCCTCTGTCCTTGTCCTGGGCTTCCCACCTGCAGCTCCCCCAGCACCACACTGCGGAGATCTCCTCCTCCTCCTCCTCTGGTGACCACCCTCTCTAATGCCCACGGGCTCAGCCCAGTGCCAACGCAATGGTCCCTGCCCCAAAGAGCTGGCGGCAAAGTGGCCTCGCAGCTGAGAGCGTGGCTTTGCTCTCCCCTGGTCGCTCGTGCCTTTGTCGAGAGGAAGCCTTGGCAAGGAAGAGGCGGTGGGTACGGGCTGGCTGGTGGCTGTAAGAGATCTGCTCTGGGTTCACTAGGATGTGCAAATGAAATCTACTCTATGGGAACCGCTGGAAAACGTTGACCTTGGAAGCCAGTCGCTCTACTCTTCCCTCCACAGTGGCAGAAGTCAGCTACAAATTATACCCCTGAGCCAATGGCATTGTCCTCTGGCTTACCCTTGCAGTCAAAATCAACATCAACTGACCGAGCCTGCAGTTGAGGTTCCTCTTGACTTGCTTCGCAGCCCCCACATCTCTAACTTCCAGGAAGCACTGGGTCGGAGAGGTGTCTCTGAATGTCCTGGTGCTCGGAAGATGCCTCCAAGTGCTCAGGGAGGGAAGGGAAACGAGAGCCCCGACACAGTCCCTGGGTGTTTGGTGCCCTTTGGTGGGGAGGCTCTGGGTTTGGGAGAGGTGAGGACTGGTGCTCCTGCTTGGGGTAGACCACCATGGTTTTGTCAGGTGCCGCAGTGAGGTGCATCCTGCTTGATGAGGAGTCCCTGGATTTCAAGTGGAACTTTTCTACCTCCGCGTAGCTCGGGCTCTGGTAGGAAAGGAGGAACCAGGTGGGTTATGGCAAAACTAAAACCAAGTGGCCACGCTCTCTCCTCACCCCATCAGGCTCCAAGCCCCCAGATGTTATTTTCTGCAGGAGCAGAGGAACCCGTGCCCCTCCCTACTGATGGGGCAAACTGGTGGTGTTGGAGATGGCAACCTGCGCCCCCAGATCATAGAGTGGTTTGGGTTGGAAAGGACAGTAGGATCATCCAGCTCCAGCCCCCTGCCATGGGCAGGGACACCTTCCACTAGAGCAGGTTCCTCCAAACCCCTGTGTCCAACCTGGCCTCAGAGAGAAAAGTTCATCTGGCAAAGCAAAACGGGTGACCTGAGGTAACTGGAGGAAGGAGAAGAGGACAGAGAGGAAGTAAAAGGGATAGATGGGGCCTCACCTGAACTTCCCCTGTTTCAGTTGGAACCCATCACCCCTTGCCTATCACTCCAGTCCCTGATGAAGGTCCCATCTCCAGCACCCTTGTAGCCCCCTTCAGACCCTGGAAGCTGCTCTGAGGTCTCCAGCAGCTTCTCTTCTCCAGGCTGAACAGCCCCAACGTTCTCAGCCTGCTTGTACGGGAGGTGCTCACTCAGTGATGCACTGGGCAGAAGCATCTCTAGGTACATCTACCCCTGTTTCAAGACCTGTGGGCTTTGCCTGGACCCAGGCTGTGCTTTACCCACCCAGAGGGAACCCCTGGTCCTCCCGGCCCCACCTGCCTGGGGCCGAAGGAAGCGTGGCCGGGGCTGGGACACGAGAGGTGGCTTTACCTGCTCTGGGGCAGTGGGCTCCTGGTGCTCCGGGGGCGCTCCGGGCGTGAGCGGCTCCAGGCTCCGCGGGAGGATGCTGTACATGGCCAGGCTGTGGGAGGACGGCGAGATGGGGCTGTACGCGGGTGGCACTTGGGACAGCTGGCGCTGCAGGAGCTGGAGGATTATATTGATGTCTGATGACATCCTGGACTCCAGCCTGGGGACAGAGCAGCCTGGAGTTAGCACAGTGCATCCCACTGCATCCCACGAGAGCCGTACCGGGAAGTGAGGCACTGGAGAGGAAGCACCAGTGTGAGGGTGAAGGTGCTTTGCCTGGTGAGGTTTTAACAGAGCTTCAAACCAGCGCTGCTCCGGAAAGATCCATCCTGCCACACGACATCATGCCCTGCCCAATGTTTTGTGGAACCAAACTAGGATGTGGAGCAGGGAACTGAACAAAGCTAAAACCACCCGGAGAGGGGAAAGAATTGCAATGGTTCATTTTAGTCTGGATCAGTTCTCCAGGCCAGCTGCCTGTGCTGACAGATGGGAGGGAGGCAGGTTGGTGCCAACCGTTTTTAACCGAGGAATAGAAGGAAATGGAGAAGTAGAAAAGGTCTCTTCCTTCTGCTTTGTCCTTGACTGAAACAAGCAGCTTTGGCAGGAGTGGACACAGCCCCCGTGCAGGCAATGGTCCTGGCACAGAGAGTGTGTAGGTCTTTCCCCCGCCACCGGGGATGGCATGTTGGTGAGACACCAAACTGTGTGTGTGGGTACCGGGGGGAGTGAGCCACGGGAGAGGAGCTGGTGCTTGTGTGGGTGCTGCCTGGGGCTTGTAAACCTGCGTGGTCCAG